TATTATTCATCAGACTTGATTAAATTTGCTGAAGCATAATGACGTTTTTTTCTCAATATGTAAATGGCAACCGTAAAAAGTTGGACGCCGGTATTATGGTTGCTTATAAAAAACATCTGTTAAGTGAACTTGAGAACGATGAAGCTGTTTTATTATATTTCTAATATTTACTGTAAACCAGGTTTTATATGCCTACTAAAAATAAAGAAATCCAACGAATATGTTTTTGCTTTAAAATCATCGTATGGACTGACATAACTTAGAATTAATTTATTTATATGGAGAACCTCGATAGCGCTTGTATGCGCTTTCGATCTACAAAATGGAAATCCAGCAACTTCCACAAGGGCAGGCCGTAGAATGGATGAACAAAAATATACCATCTCGTAACCAGTCCATACCATATACCAGTCGTTAACTCCTAGCAACCACTCAAGACCCGCGTGGTGAGTATGGCCCATCCTCCCTAATTCAATTTCATGTATAAGGAAGGCCTGAGCCCCAGCAATAGGGATATTAATACGCTTTTGATGATGATAAGGTACAATTACAACTTAGAAAACATTTACTTTATATTTGTCTATCCATACGGAATGCCTCTGCTCGAATATTGGGACATTGATAAGAAGATGATGATGAACAAACATACATTAATCAAATGCTACTAGTAAGATCATACGGTTCATATTAATGTGTTGTTTATTTACAAGCAACTACGGCATGCGTTAATGGGGATAGGAACAGAAAAAAATAATAGCAGAGCCTAGACTCTATTTATATTATGTATTAATTATAGCACAAAATATGGTGGAGAAACAACATTTTTCTCAAAGGAGACAACAAGATATGGTCGGAGACAAAATTTGATGTTTTGCACATACCCGAGAATGCAAACATGAGGTTTTTTTCATTATTTGTGATAAGAATATTGACAAATTATTTATATATCGAAAAAAATTACCTTTCACCATAGATAAATAAATAAATTAATATTATATAAGTCTAATATTTAACAGATTAAGAAACTGAGCATCAAAAGTTAAGAAAATGGTTATTAAATAGGTACTCTAAGAAATAATTTCCCGCAGGAAATGTAATTCCACTCTGACGAAGTCGAGCGCACAAGTTATTGTATTATTCTTTCATGACAACTTGCAAGTTAATTGTTAAGAACTACTTAACAAAATTAGCCGGCTTTATAAACGTAATATAGATTAGTTCACTGGTACCAGGACTCCATAGAGACTCAGAATGTACGCCACGATGCGCTCTCACAATTGTATTGGACGGTTCCACCATTCTTCTGCAAGTACCACCCGTGTCTCTATGCTCTCCTGGTAATATAATAATATGTATAGACATGAAGATATACAGGTGACTAAAAAAATATAAAAAGCGATTAATAAAAATTAATATAATTATTAGCCATACAATCATGACACATTTTTTAAACAGTTCATTATCAATATTACAAGAGATGTGCAAAAAATCACGTTGATCGTATGGGATTTCCCTTACATATCCATTTAATTCCTTTTTTTTTTAGAAATACATCATCTGTGCAAATTTCAATTGTATAACTATCACGGTACATGAGATACAGCCTGATGACAGACGGACAGACAGACGGAGGGACGGACATCGGAAGCTTAGTAATAGGGCTCTGTTTTTTACCCTTTGAGTGCGGAACTCTAATAAGAACCTCATTACAAAAAATCATTCTCTAAATCGTATTATTATAATTCCATTAATAAAGTAACTAACATCGAGGATGCAGTTTTTGTATTTTTATATTTTTTGTATAGTCCATTTAATATGATTTGCAGTGAGAAATTGTACAAGAATAACGATAAATTGCTTGAAAGATAATTTAATGGCTACCAGAAAAACCACCATCTCAAAATACTATTTGTTGAAATTAATAAATAAACCTCCAATATATTGCTTTATCTTTTTTTTTAATATCTCCATGAGTTCCCTATATTTAGCAATAATTCTAAATAAACCTTCACTTTGACATCAACCCTATGAGGTTTGTTTAGCATCAGTTGTGATATTTTTGTAACTTTACATGTTTTATCAGAGAAGTGGTTCTTTTCTTTTTTAATTGTCCTTACTAATAATATAAATGCAAAATTGACTCGATCTGAAACCATTTAGATGAAATTTGGTATGAAAATGTATTAGACATTAAACAAGAAATAGATACCTAGATTTCATACGAATCCTATGAAAGGAATGAAAAGAAGGGTAAAAGTTTGTACGGGAATAATTATTTACTTACTTACAATCTTATACATGCTTCTACTTTACCTTAAAACCAATAATTAATGTTTATATCAATTTAAAGAGAATCTGAAGACCTTTACGAAAATTTAGAGAAAAAACGACTTACACTTAATGAATCGAACAATAATTCTTTTGTTGTCGCTACGACAACAAATGTCAATCTATATTTAAAAATATGATTTACTTCCACCTAATTCTAGTTCGGTGAACCATACCTTTTCGAGAGATCTTCAGAACAGCTCCCTGTTTATTCAGAAATCTCATTGACACCAATAACAAAACAAACAGCAAAGCAAAGTCAAAAATCTTCAAAAATTTCTTTACATAATACTTGAACCGCACATAAGTTGATAGGGCGCCTAAACCAAAAATCTCTAATATTCAACTAATTATGAAAAAGGAAATAAATTCCATAATAATAAGCTGTAATTAAAATAAGAAGAGTTAAAATAATTGAAATGATAAATATAAAATAATTTCAATAAAAAAAATTACAAGAACTATTATTGTAATTATAACAGAAAAGTAATGAACAGTTACAGTACTATATAATTTGGACAAAACAATACGGTCAAGCCACATGTTTTAATTGGTGTAGGTGGTGTATACCGTAAAGTTTAGGCTTGTATATTTAGAGCATGCAGAGAAAGAAGTTTGGCTCTATTAGTATACAAAATCTGAAAACTTTTTGACGATGCGAGTCATATGGTGGTCTTGGCACCGTTTTACATGAAATATTTTTTGTTAAAATGGTTGCCTAAACTTTTTTGGGGACGGAACCCTGTTTTGAAACCAAATATTTACACGGTAATCGTAAAACAAAACTCACATTCATGTGTATGTTGTTTATACATAATGAAAGGGTACATTTTGATATTTTCATTGGGTAGCGTACATTTATAAAATTTTATCGGTAAAAAAATGCAAAGTAATGTTTTAAAATTCAGCATTAAATATATTTCTTCAGTTAATTATACGATAAAAATATGTGAGCCACTTTGTAGCCGGGCGATGCAATTGAGAAATACAATAAATAAATTTTATTAGTATACAAGTAATTCCATAATTAAAATTACGATATTTATTAAGCATCTCGATAACGATCCGCAATACGGAAGTTCATCATAGGACGGGTAACCAAAAACTTATAATCTTGATCTCTTTCGTGCTACGCAAATCACTTGCTCCCGGCTGCATCTTCAGTCGTAACATACACCAATCTGAACACGTGCGGTTATTAATGGCTCATTGATCATATTCAGTTCGATGCGTTTCCTTTTATATGGAGAGCCTGTCCCAACATTAAGTAGTGGGAACATAATAGGCTGGTGATGATGATGGTGATGGTCTATTTCGCGTGATGGAGACTTTTTTTTAACATAACGACAAAAGTTTTCCTCCCTCGTGAGGGCATTATAAAAATGGAGTGTTTCCTTTGCCTCTATGTACAAAAAATCTCCCTTTTAACCTTAACATTGTCTATTTTTTAGGCCCAGGCAAATAGGTGCTTGATTTTAATGGTTAATTTTCGCCATTTTCTTTATAAAAGGTAATTTCAACATGTTTATTCTCAATTAAAAATGCTTAAAGAATCCACTTCCTACCTGATACTCTGAGGTAGGATTTTTCATTAGCATTGGGAATGTCAACCTGATCTAATACTCGTATAATAATTAAAAAACTTAAAACTTTTAAAAAAAAATTATATTATCAAGACAGTAGGAATAATAATCTACCTGACTGGCAAACAAACGAAAATTTGTCATCATCCTTATTCATTGCATTTGATATTTCATACAATATGGTTTGCAAAACTTTTATTTCATAATAACCCCCTCGAAATGCATACACTCGATATGACATACATACGACTAAAATTTTTTATACACTCAGTGAAGTTAGAGGAATGAGAACTCGTAGAACTTTAGTGACCGACGTATAATACATTTTACTTAATCAGTTTTTACTATATTTTGTCGATATAAAATAAAAGGTAATTGGTTACCGAGATTCTCTATTGAAGTTTTAATATAATAATCTACTACTCGTACGAATTAACATGACTCCTGACTGAAAGCTATTCTATTTCTCCGATAACGAAATTTAGCCTGTTTTCGAAATACGACTCGAAAGAAACGTATTTTTAGATAATTTATAATGCAACGAAATTGAAGGGAGGACCTAACATTGCCTCTAATGCACAGATAATCTTTACATATATGATTTCAGCAATCTTTTAAGGATTGCAAATTTTACGAATAAGCCCTCAGGTGTCATGTTTATTAATGAGTCGACGGTGCAGTGGTTAGCATTCTCGATCTGCGGTACTGTTGTTAAGCGACTTTTACAAGGGCATGTCATAGGATGGGTGACCAAAAATTTATTATTTTAGGTGATCTGTACTTTGGCAGACACATTAAGCCGTTGGTCCCGGCTGCGACTGCAGTCATTAACAACCACCAATCCATACTGGGCACGCGTGGTGGGGATGGCCCATTCTTTTCTATTTGATTCGAAAATTTTGATAAGAAACCTTACCTTTTTATTAGCTCATTATAATCGGATGCTTCCTTACATCCATTTCCTTAATTACCTACAGGAACACTTGTTATTGTCTCACATAATAACTTATGCAATTTCTCTGTCAAGTAACTAATTAAATCAACAATACTAAGAGTATGTTTTCAAATAATTGCAATAATTGTGCCTAGATGCGCGTACGCACAAAAAGCTGGTACTTGTTTACTGGTACTTCTGCGTCTGAGCGTTATAAAGGGGGAGATCAACGAAGCATAATCATTGGTGTCTTGATATTAGAGCAAGTGGGACGTGTTTTGTGTTACTGGACTAATATTTACAATGAATTGTTTGGTGAGTAAACTAAAAGTTGTTATCTTTTGAATATAAAGTAGGTATTGTCGCAAAACTATTTGTTACTCGTTTGAATTAAGTTAAACCATTTTTAATTGAGTTTGGCTATCTAAATAATAAGTTTTTTAATATATATATAATTGTGAAATAACTAACAGTGAGAAGGATATTAAGATATACTTCTGTTAATTAATACATATATTAGACCTTAACTGTCTTCCTGTGACTTTCAAACCAGTTTCGCTATCTATGAATCTATGAAGTCTCGGGTTAGATTCTCGGTCGGATCAAACTAGAAAATGAATTGTCGAGTTTGAGTGTACCATCGTTATTTCAGATTTTCTTACAAGTGCTAAAAGCTACCTATTGCAATGAATGTCTAAAATGTAGGTATGTAGTGTTGAATAATAATTATGCTTCAATTGATTTATATCTGCACTCTATTAATTATATGAAAATAGATTAGATTTTTTTGTTTGTTTGTAACTGACAAACTTAAAAACTACTAGACTAATTTTAAAAATTATTTTAACAAGTTATAAACGAGTAACTTAAGTGAAATATTAATTAATGATTGCTATTGGCCTGAGACGTCTCGTATATTATAGCCTATGTCACCCGTATATAATGTAGGTTCCCGTAGATATATAGGTTAACAAAATACGAAAATAGGATTATAATTGACGAAAATTATATTACGAAAATAGGAGACGTACAATTGGCGGCCTTATCACTAAAAGTGATGTCTTCTAAGCAATCTTGGGATGGAGTTAAATATAAGCAATTTAAATATAACCTATAAACAATTTATAATCATAGAATTAATTAGTTGGTGATAGAATTTTTTAAATTAGTCTTATCATTTCGAAGCAAATGCAAACAAACAATGCCATATTCCATGCAAACAAACAATTATCTAAATCTTTCCTCTTTATAATATTAGTTCAGATACGGCCGGCACTCAATTCGGGGGGTATAGTTTAACATATCGACGCTGGAAAGCAAACACGTAATAACCCGCAAAACCAAAATGGATATTTAAAGTGGAAAATCTAAAAAAAATATCTTATTTCCAAATAAATTGACTAAGGAACATCTTATTTGTTCCCATGGACGTTTATAGGAATTATTTATCGAAAAAAATAAAAGCATTTCTGCTCTGCATATCAATTTTGGTTTTGCGGGTTACTACGTGTTTGCTTTCTAGCGTCGATATTGTCACACTAATAAGTAATAATATCTCGACATTCAAGAATGTACTTATTGATTTAATTTCTTTGTTAGTTAAGCAGTTTTAAGTAATTTGATCATCTTGGATATTTTTTGTTTTATTGGATTTATTTGTTTTCTTACATTTTTCTTATTTCTCTTTTGTTTTGTTTTTTTGTAACCAGTTTCATAGCCACATTCATTTTTAAATATTTCTTTAACCACCATCATCTATGCTATTCTGTAAAAAAAATACCTCGAACTCGACGTTGAGCACAGCGCAGTGACAGTATAGAGTTTCAATGAAATGTATTATCTTTTGAAAAAGGTTTTATTTGATTGAACCTCTACATTATGACAGCGCTGTGCTCGCCGTTTAGTTTGGAGTGTTTTTATTAAAGAATAGCACAAGTTAATAGCCTTGTCGACAATAGCGACTCCATTTTTTTTATCATAAAATTCATATTAGTTTAGCCTACTATATGGCAATTAATACCAGATATACCTTTTGAGTAGCTCGGTGGCGTAACTGATGGATAAGCACCACGGCCCGCGATCGTTGTTGTTAAGCAACTTTCACAATGGTCAGTCACGGGATGGGTGACCAAAAAATTATTATCTAAAGCTACTCCGTGCTTCGGAAGGCACGTTAAGCCGTTAACCCCGGCATGCATTTACAGTAATACCTTCCAATCCGCATCGGGCCAGCGGGTCATGGCCCATCCTGTTTAATTATTCATAAGGAAGGCCTTAGCCCCTGCAGTGGGGACGTGTAAGTGATGCTGATGATGAGGTCACCATCAGCACTTATAGGTTGATAGGATTTATCAGGTTGGTATAGGTAAGACAAATTATATATTGAAATCCATTGATGAAATTCGGTTTAAGTATACAAAGCCAGTATAGAAGCCACTGCACTACAAGTTAACAAATTGTGTAAAATTGATTTTATTATTATTCTTAATACAAAATGCTTAAAAAATCCACTTCTGCTCTAGCATCCTCGGGTGGGATTCGAACCCACGACCTTTCGCAATCCGTGCGACTGCTCTAACCACTGAGCTACACAGGACCTAAAAGGACTGACGAATCTTTCAAGCACTTGTTACTTTTCGCTACTACAGAGCGTATTAAGAATAATTTTCAATATAGCATTGTGAATGCTAAATTTATCAAATATAATGATTTAATTATGTTCATAAAACTTATAAATACAATCATATAGGTAGGTCTTTTATATCGTCCATGTAATGTATTGAAAAACTTATTAAATTCAAAGGCCATTTTTATCAACGGTTACTGTGTATTATGGACATTGTTTACTGATGCGTAACTTCATCATTCGTAATATGTATCTCAGTTCACGACATAAAATGGAACGAGGGCGAATATCCCGTTATGGCCACGATGAATATTATCACAACTCTAAAAGAGTTGTGACGTCACAAATTTCATGGTCTACAGAGATTACTCACATGGAATTATACCGTTAAATCTTGGTCGCGGCATATTTTAGTAAACATCTTCTTTACCTGAATGGACTAAGGTGGGTAGACCATGGCAGGCCACACTAATGAATAAACAATTTTTCTTTGTTCATTTACGGGTTTAATGTAAGTAACTTATTATTAAGTAACACTTTGTTTTATTGTGTTACTTGAAAATAGATTATTTTTATTCTTACTATCGTCAGTACTAATTAAAAAAGGTAAGTACTTTTATTAAGCTCTTCCAATCGGCCTTGCAAGAAACAGGGCTCCATGCAAGGCCAATATTATAAAACGGGCCCTCGACTTAAAACTAGAGTTGTGATAATCAAAATATCCACTTTTTCTAAAACTACATAAGCTCTTTCATTTAAACGGAGCATTAAATACTTAACATATTATAATTTTAGTAATGGAAGTTATTTAAAAATTATAATATTCATTATTAGATGGCTAACAAATAAGTTGTTAATGCGTTGTTAAGGTGTCAATTTTTTAAAGAATAAAATTATTTAAAAAATTGACACCTATAATGGCCTTTCAATGGGTCCGTTCTTTGTAAGGCCAAAATGTTTCTAAGAAGCTCAAACTAACAATTATTATCTATGGCAAGCTTTTTTAATCTATACTAATATTATAAGGGGGAATGATTTGATTTTTTATTTGTTAACATCGAATCATCTGTTCAATTATTGTAAATATATTTTAATCAAAAATTTTAAATAATAATAAAATAATAACTTTTCTATTACTTATTTATAACTAGAAACGAAGTGTTTTTATATCTATGATTTCCAAATGTTCTTTGTAAAACCCAAGTACCCTAGCAAGGCCAAATACATGGGAAAGATAAAATTTTCCATTGGCCCTATGAGGAAACACCGTTCTTAATAGGAAAACTAACGAATTTTAACTGAAATCGAAACAAAAACATTATTTCTTCTATAGTAACATATTAAATCCTTTTATGATTATTTACAAAACAAAAAAAAAATTATACTAAGTTATTAACATAAAAAATACCTTTTGTTGTGTGCAAGAACCACAATTTTAACGTCAACGACCAGAGTATAAGAAGCGAGTGATCTCACCAACAAACTAGCGTCACAAGCGACTTGCCACTTCGTTTGTGTTCTTAGGTTTGATAGAGCTTAGTATGAGTGGAAGCAATTTGTCATCATATGACAATTACTATGATTATAATTGGCCTTCAAACGAACATGGTCTTCCATGGTCCACCCACCTTATTTATTTTTTCTCGGGGCTAATCTTCATGAAAGAATAAGTAAGAGTTCTTGTTGTACCAAGGAGTCAAAGTCATAGTCATAGAAAACAGTGGAAATTAGTCCACCGACAAGAGTATCACTCTTAAATGTTATAGATACCTAATGCTATGCTGTTAATTATTACTATTGTACTACGTCCTATTCTTTAATTGAATTGCCCAGGCTTTTCCAACTTCAAATCTTAATTATTTAAAGTTGGGTTTGGCGACCCTAATGTAAGTCATTTTTATAGACCAATATAAAAAATTGTGTTGGTGGCACTCTCCCTATTGGTCATACTAAAAGTTCTTACCTTTCTTAATTGATCTTGTGAATATGATTATTTATCCTATATATATCATAATACACCGAAATAAGTCCACAGCTTTGACGTCAATTATAGAAACTTATTATGTTTACAAATCTTATTAATTTTCTATTAAAGGTTAGATTAAACACTAAAAATTTAATTTAGAATTACATGAAATAAAAACATCAATAAATCATTTCAATTATATCACACGATAACCATAGTGTAGATATCTGTGTATGTATGTATTTTTCTGTTTATTTTGAACAGATAGTGTTATGTGCCGCGCTAGCAGCGGTATCGGCGCAGCGGCTCACAGAAACAAGTACAGAGGTAGCGGATGGTCAACGTCGGAGCGTCGCAGGCGCAGGTGGATATGGTTTGCTACGACCGAACTACGGCAGCAATTATGGCGGCTACGGAAGCAACTATGGCGGTTACGGCAGTAATTATGGCGGCTACGGCGGAGGCCCTCCTTACAGTGGTGGTTTCGGAGGCTACAACGGTGGATACGGTGGCAGTCACGGCGGATATCCGTATCAGCCATACCCGGGTTATGGTGGAGGTAGGGTTCGTCTCTTAATTTCAAGAGTTCAATAATACTTTGGCATTCATTTCGTTGTGTTGAACCATAAGCGTGGGATTTAAATGGTATTTGTATTGAATCCAAATTGTGGCATTCTGTTGAATGAACTTGAATGTCTGTGTATAATATTATAATATTGTGGACTATTTCTGGTTTAATATAACTAAAAAAAATACTCCATTACAAATGTTTTAAACGCGATCTGATTTTGGAATAAAGTACTATAAAGTGGGATTAAAGTAAAAGACTATCGACGAACTCGTCTCAAAGAAAAATGGTTTTTGATTAATTGATCGAAAACTATTGCGGTTACGTAATATATTGTATAATTTCTACGGTCTAACATATTCATCAATTTTCCTTTTACATAATGAAAGAAAAATGTAAATAATGAATTTTAGGGGTAACTTTGTGATTTTATTTTATAGAGAAAAAGTTTATAAATTCTCCTGAAACCAAATAAAAAGTCTATTTGGTCTAAGAAACTCACATAAAATTTAGTTACAACTTATTTGAACGTTATTTCTTTAAACAAAACCAGGTGAAAGTCAGTGAATAGGGTGTGAGCGATATCTTAATACTTGTAAATTTTTACAGCCGGTAGTTACCCAGGTGGATACCCGGGTTACGGCCCTGCAGGCGGTATAGGCGGAGGATACCCCGGTTTTGGAGGTATGTTTTCAGTGACCTTTAAATATTTTTTTATGGTACCGCACTTCAAAAGGTAAATACCTCTATGGTCTGTGGTAAAAACAGCCAAAATTTCGAAATATATCCTTTTAAGAGAAATAACTCAATGGAAACTTATCAGAATTCATTACTATAACAATTATTTAGTTTAGTTAAAAGTTCTTTAAATAGTAGGTATTTTAAATATCGGTTGAAACTGAACCACAACTGTTTGTTTTTCCAACGTAATAAAATGATGAAAGAGCAATTACTGACAATTACTTAGTGAGTCTCACTTTGAACTTACGTTAAAATATTTATTCAAAGTTATCTTAAGACCTGCTATAACAATTTCGGCATTCGCCGCAAACTTAAAATAATCAAATTTACTTTGGCGAACTGCCGAATTCAACTTTGTTAGCAGCCTTTCCGGATAAACACTCTTCAGTAATAAATACGTATCTATGCCTATGACTTAATTTGTATCAGCATATATATTTAAATAACAATATCGTAAGTATCAAATCAATTCAAAATCATTTAGACGATGGAAAAATAAAAATAAACTTTCGAGAAAATAACATTTTATATACACACGGCAACGCGTTGAATTTGAACGCTACCTTCGATGTGACAATGATTAAAATGTAACCTGACATGCTGTTGCTGCTTTCACTAACTTCCATAAAGATAAAGAGTGATATTTAAATTCGATTTTAAGACTATTATAAAAAATATATTTTTGGTATGCGGCAATAGGTATACCATAATTTATTTTTCATTACAAATAATTTATTTACAAAAACTAATTATTCAAAACATTAATTAATACAATATCATAAAATTTTAGGCCTATTAAGTCTAATAAATTGTCTCTGAAAATATTTTTCACCTATAGGGAACGACTATATAAGTTCGTCAAACTTTCATTGTTCTTATATGTTATTACAATAATTATAAAATTAACTTATTTTCAGGTTACCGACCGAACTACCGACCGGGTTACGACTACCGTCCCGGGTACAATTACCCCGGCGCTGGATATTCTGGTTACAACCGACCGAGTTTCACCCCCTACCGACCGGGTTACGACCGCCAATACCCAAACAACCCGGGTAATTACTTCGGCGGATACAGCGATAGTTACAATGACAATATCAGACTTCTCGGAAGGAAAGTTGGTGAAACCAAAAAAGAAGAATCTTAGTTTAAATTTATTTATGTATATATAGATCTGAGTTATGTTGATTGCACCGTTTTTATGAATATTAAATATTATTTAATTAATTATACTTTCACTTTACTTTAGGACTTTAGATTATATCATTAAACACACTAATAACATAGTAATAAAACAACGCTATTAATTAAACATATATTAATTAAATTCAAAATAATACAATTATACATTTGAAATAATTATGAAATTAATAATACTTTGCTTGATTGAGTTGTTTAGAACATATGTATTCTATAAATAGTACTCATATTACCAAATCATTTCTTCTTATATATAGTACTACTACACATATAAAATTCATCAGCGCAGGATGGAGAAAATCAAAGATGATGGTATACGAGTATCGACCCCATTGAAATATACATTTTAGTACGTTAAGCTTTCACTTGCAGAACAACTTGCGATAATAATTAATTTATGAATGTCAACATTAGTTATTGTCGAATTTTAGAGAAGTCCGTTGCTTTATGAAGAATTCCATATATGGTAGCCCAACAAAGTATATGAGCCCATCGAATTCATTCTTACGAGCCACTGAACCAGTCTGATGTCATAGAAGTGAAGAATGAGGCTGCTCCAGAGCGAGCATTGGCGAAGTTTATAGGCAACGAGCTGGTCATCAATTCGGATATCTCGGACTTCGACTTGTTTGGACTTGCTGCAACCACTTTTTTCTTTGTCTGTAAACAAACAAATATTATAAAAAACCATTTCTAACAATTCCTATTAAAATGTATACATCCATGCTTAATTATGAGATAAAATATAAAAAGGTAGATATTATTTTATTATATATATTTATTTATTATAATTATATAACTATTAGATGTCTATAGTACCAGCCAGCATACATACTTTTGGTTACGATAATAGATATGCATCAATACGCATCCGCATGACTGGGACTATTATAAACAAACATTGTGTAACTAAAAAAAGTATTTTTGCGTCCTTGATTAGTATTATAGATTATAGAGTATACCTGCATGATAAAGAGTACAACTATTTAAGAGTACATTTGACAACTCTTATGCTTCCTGAAATAATGCATTACACTTTCTTTTGGTAAGTGAAATTAAATTAAAATAATTACCACATTCAAAGTCTCATATTAGTTATTAAGGAATTATAATAATGAAATTAATGATCTAAATACAGACAACAGCAAGTCAGATTGTAACTATCAAAATTCCTCAATTGATTGTAAGCCTTAATTTGATCATAATTACGTTCAAGCTCTAATGAAGTTTTTTAAACTAACGTGCTGCCATATGTATAGTATTAGATACTATGATTCTTGATTTTATAGAATAACACACAGAAATCCACTCACAAGCCATTATTGTGGTGAGAACTGTTATTGTGATACGAGGGTCAAACTGAAAGTTCTTAGAAAATCAAAAACTGATTACATTAGCCAGTTATTAGTTTTATTATATCTTTTCAAAATATTGTCCATTCACGTCAATACACCGCTGCATGCGATGGAACCACTGGGAAAAGCACTTTGCCCACTCGTCCTTAGGGGTCTCTTCAATGGCATCGCGATACGCAGCCACCGCTTCTTCAGCATTCATAAACCGCTTTCCTTTAAGTTTTTCTTTAATTTTTGGAAATAAATAAAAATCACAAGGCGCGAGGTCGGGGCTATACGGCGGGTGACCCAGTAATTCAACGTTTGATGTCGCCAAATAGTCGATCGTTCGCTTGGCGGTGTGCGACGAGGCGTTGTCGTGGTGAAGGAGGATCCTACTGCGAGGTCGTTTCTCTCGAACTTTTTCCAAGACAAGTGGCAAACAATTGGTAGTGTACCATTCTGCAGAAACTGTTTTTTGATTCTCTAACACAATTGTTGCAAAATGACCTATCCTTCCAAAGAACGAGGCCACCATTTTTTTTTCCGCACTTCGATCTCTCTTCACTTTAGTTGGCAACTCCTCGAAAGGAAACACCCACTGAGCAGATTGCCTTTTGGTTTTAGGATCATAACAGTAAATCCAGCTTTCGTCACCTGTTAGTATGTCGAACACAGCATTTGAGTCACCTCCGTTAAATCTTTCAATCATTTTACGACACCAATCCACACGATGGAGTTTTTGAGCCTCAGTCAAATTATGAGGTATCCACCGGGCGCAAAGCTTCCTGACCGCTAAATGTTCGTGGAGGATTTTGTGCACTTGACTCATACCGATGCCTAAGCTTGTCCGAATCTGTTGATAGGTCACTCTTTTGTCAGTCTCTATCATACGCCGCACAACACAGATGTTATCTTCAGTCGTCGCCGTAGAAGGCCGTCCCTCACGTAAATCATCAGTGAAATTAGTGCGACCACGTTTAAACTCATTAAACCAGTTGTAAACAGTCGCACGAGATGGGGCTTCATCGTGAAAGGCCAATCGTAGTCTATCATAACTTTCTTGTTGACTTAAATGACATCGAAAGTCATAAAAAATCATTGCACGAAAATTTTCTCGTGTTAAATTCATGATGACGTGACACAGACAATTTTCAATTTGCCGCCAAATCGTAAAACAAATGACAAATGAATGAAATATATACTCAGTAATATTGGCAAAGAGTTATATTTTCAAATTTTAGAATTATTTTTTTATTATATTGTTTATAAGTGGCCAGTTCTAAGAACTTTCAGTTTGACCCTCGTATTACTGGTGTTCTTATAAAGATAGATTCAGCCTACATAAATCTATTTTTAGAAGTTGATAGTATAATTTAACACAATACTCTCTGGTAAAACTCCGAGGATATATTTTTTAATCCAGGCAACCCTAGTAATAGTATCATATCAATTCTGCGCGCGGCTGTATGCGTTGGTAATTCTTGTATATACATAGTAACTTCATGTGCGTGTCAAGAGGTACAAATACAGTAATTCCAACAAATTGAAAACAAAAAATAAATGCGACGAGTTCTTATAATTGTAAATAAGTATAGATTATTTTGTTTTATGACCCGGTTATAATATTTTATTTAGGTAAATCGATACTTGTTGAACTTATTACTCAGAATCGCTGCTAGAAAAATTAAACTATCAATTATTATATTAGAACAATTTTGCATTAACAATGCTATACTGAAAAATCTTCTTAATGAAAAATGCTTAAAAAATCCACTTTGTCCCTGGCACTGTGAGATGGAACTCGAACTTGTGGCGACTGATACATAGCGACATCTAATTTATCGCACTAACATCGCCACAACAATCGATAACCAGAAGACTAGCATCGTCACAGCCATCGATAGCAAGACGAACGGGGTCACCACTTTAGGAACCGTATGATTGAAGGTTGGTTCCTAACTGTGGTGATGGAAACAACTGGCAAGGGAGACTAAAGGATAAGTGTCTCCCTCCGAGCTAGGTGTTGTTAGCCCGGGGACCGCGATCCAACCGATGTAGGTTGGACGTTCTATTTATGTTAATTGGTAATGAAACTTATTCTGTGCAATGTAGGTTTCCTTGTTCTGAATGTCTTCTAGTTATTAATTTATGTTGTTTGTATTGGTACAGTACCATCTCGTTACTTGCTGTTGAAACTTATTGCAGTTCGTCTTGCTATCGATGGCTGTGACGATGCTAGTCTTCTGGCTATCGATTGTTGTGGCGATGAATTAGATGTCGCTATGTATCAGTCGCCACAAACTAATGTAATTATAAAATATTTATAAAAATATTTCTTCCGCTGTTTGAGTGGATTGCCTGAACATGAATGATTATACGCTCTGCAGTAGCGAAAGAGTAACAAGTGCTTGCAAAATCCATCAGTCCTGTTAGGTCCTGGGTAGCTCAGTGGTTAGAACAGCCGCTCGGATTGCGAAAGGTTCGAGTCCCATCTCAGAATGCCAGAGACAACGTGGATCTTTAAGCATTTTTCATCAAGAAAAACTATGAATTTTCAGAATCGCTGCTTTCAACCAAATTTCATTATGAAATCCGATTACATATCTCGGTGAAAACCTGATAACGAATGTACCTTTGCAAAAAAAGTGATAAGAATACGTGTTACTCAGACGCCGACTGAAGCGTCATTGTCACACAAATGATTTAAACTATCTATACATTATTAGTAGATTAGGTTTGATGTCACACAACTCACACAGACCTTTTCAGAACTCGAAGGCCGACAGTTTCTACACAAATAAACGAAATCCATTAAATTGTGCTCATAATGTGTAAATATTAATTAATCTCATGTTTATTTTTTAATAATCTTGGGTCTTACGGGGTCTAGTTATGAGTTTTAATTACTACTAACCCAAAAGTGCTATACAATCGTAAAGGTGGTATATCATAATATGGTACCAAAGCTAATCTTATCGATCGATATAAGGAATTTTTGATATTTTCTCATCATTATAATATAAATCTTACCGGTTTATCGTGTTTCTTGAGTAAGGCCGGTTGCGTAGCTACTGGTAAAAGGGAATACCAGTGCGAGTCCCCGCATGCGAGGAGAGAGGCTGCCTTATCGCCAGTACCGCCTGACAACACGGGCTTGTTGCCGATTATACCTGACAATTGTCCATGATGCAAGATCAGACTGCCGAGTAACGTCTAAAAACAAAACACACATTATTTTGCGTAGAAACTTAATGGATCTTATCGGACAATCCGTCCGTCTTTCACAGCTACTTTGCACTTAAATTTAAAATTACTTGATTGTTTAGTTAATTTAAGAAAATGAACCCTCCCCTTAACTTAGAAACAACTAATCTAAAAGTTTGTTTAAAAATATTGATAATGAAATGCAATCTGATATATTTTAAAACTTAATACCTATTCATATGAAGGGTTCCGTCTATCAGATTTTCGACTTTCATGAGTGCTTGTAGCAGCCTAGACTGAATAAATGATTTTAATTTGACTTGTAATTATTAAAATAAAATATTAAAAATAACCAGTTTTTAATTACTTATTTTAATAATTCTATTCTAGACATAAAAAGGAATGCTTATAGTTAGGCAAAATTTTGTTGGAATGTGCTCTATAGATAGGTCTCGAACTTCATGAAATTGATAGGAGTTAGCAACACCTCGTCATATAACAGTGGCGACTTTCCTGTGGGACTTTTTTTATGCGACAGACTTTAGACAACTTGCCACAGAGTAACTAATCTTGTGAGTGAGATACCAAGTACCGATTCAAATACTTGCTTTGTTACTATTGAAAAACATATTTTACTATTCAATTGATATTTTAAAAATCAGAATGTTGATTCCAATAGTTTTACAAGAAAATAACTTGGAAATATATTAGCGCGAAACTGATCAAACGTCAAAGTCAGGTGACAGCTAACTGACAGATAACGATGCCCGTAGTGAAATAGACAATTAGTTCTGCCAGTACTAATCAATATTTTTCCCTTTAACTATTAATTAATTGGTTCTAAAGTAGCAATGCCAAAATATTTGGTAGCGAAAGAAAATTATCGAGTGAATACAAGTCTTTACTCGATAATCTCGTTCAGTATCGAGTAAATACTTTGTACCGTTTTATCCCTAGATAGAAGGGTATAATTTGGAATGAGTACTTGATTTGAAAAGCAATTCTTTAGTTTTTGATCAATCGTGTTTAGACAGATTTGTTTTTAGAAAATGTAATAGATACAAGCTAGCTTATTATGAAACATACCTGCACCCTCTGCACTGATCTTTTCAAATTCGTCTGTATATATGGATAAAACACATCGTAATCAAACGGATCTATCCTCTGCCTGAGAAACTCGCAAATCTCATGCGACAGCTCCATAGATTTCTTATTCTCCCTAGGTACTAACAACAAAGTCGTATGTCTGACGTCCATCAACAGTTGAAGCGCACACCTCTGATTTATTTCCGTCTCTTTCTCTCTCACAACTTTGTCGTAATGTGCGAAGATGACGTTTGTAACTTTGTCGATGAACATTGCATGAATTTCTGACGGCAAAGTGTGTGGGATCACTTCGTCTAGTATACGACTAACGGAGTAAAGGTACTCTTGTAATTTTAAAGAAGGTCCCGCTGGAACTTTTATTGTGGACTCTATGGAGTTGCCTTCGTCGTCTTTCTCTTCGATTTTTATTACATCCCATTGCTATGTATAACAAAAAGCATAAAAATAAAGTTAAAAAGCAGCGGCTTATTTAAATAAAGTCGGCAATTATAAGTTTGTTAGATCTATATTCTTTTTTTAACTAGCATTAGACAAGGCTCTATTTGAGTATAGTTATATAGAATAGTTTATAAAACCTATGTCTAATAATTGGTGGTAAGACGTGACAAGTTCTATGTTAAAAAGGTAACCAAAATAGCCGACTGTAGAATGAGAAAATATATTTCCATCTCACCATCATCAAATAATCAATGTTGGCCTCCAAAGTGAATTCCTGCGGGAACATTTTTGTCATTTCCTCAATTTTTACCATAACAATATCCACCCATTTTCCCCAACAGAACAGACAGTTCTCCTTCAATATACCGCACACATCCTTCCATCTTTTCACGGCATTATCATCTATCGTTAAAACGCCTAAGCTGTTACGCTCTTCGGGAATATAGCACTTGCCTAAACTAGGTACAAGAGTGGATATCGCTTGAGAGAATCTAGCGGTGTATATAGCAGTGGTTTTACGTTTCAACTCGGTTGATTGAAGCGTCGGCTCCTCGAAACAGGCCCTTATGTACTGGATCATACTGAAATTTTCAGACACAAATGTTGTATGTTTGTTTTGTCTCGTTTTTGTAAACTATCTGTAAATCTCCATGTTATAGGAAATGCTATAGATAGATAATTCCCCGTGTAAACGAAGTCAGGAATAGGAACTACTTTTAAGTTAATTTATCCCTTTTTTATAGCTCTTGCCCACAACTTCGTTTGCATGATATTAGTATCTATTTACCAACCAACTTCAAAAAATAAAAATAAGTTTTCAATTAGACTCTTTTCTTGTATCCTTATTGCACTTTTTTATTAGAAAGAGTATATTCCTTGTTTTAAAGAATTTGACGTGTCGAATGAGTGTCTATACAGTCCCCTTATCTGTTTTCTATGGTTTCCAGTAGGCCAACCGCGTGAAGAAATTGTCTTCGATTTTATAGATAATCAAAATGCACTTAACGTTCAATTGTTGAACGTTGGGTTCAACTCGATATCGGACTATTACATATGTGATCTAAGAATACATATTAAGCATTGAGTACAGTCTAATGTCAACCAAATAGAAGACTGGTAGCTGTATCTTTTCGTTGGTGATTCCCAGTAACTATGCAATCGATTGTATTTCCATACAATTAATGTTTTTTTCATTTTCATCTTTTAATCATTCATTTTCATGTAATAAACATAGAGATGATTTGATTTGATTTGATCTGATGAGAGATCTGATTTTGAGTCTTAGAATAGCAAGATTATCTTATTATCTTAAAATTAAAAGTCGTAATTTTTTGCATATGTGTCGTAACTTGAAACACGACCTGCCATTGTGTTACGCCACTATGGCGACAGCTGTCAGATTAGTCATAAAGATATGCCTCTTAATTATAAATCGAATTCCTAGATGGCGCTGTTCTCAACTCATTTATATTTTCTTATTTTGAAAAAGATCGTTAGATGTTATTATTCTTGTTCTAATGACATCTTTAATCTTCTACTCTACGCATCTGTTTTGTGCATAGAGTTGACGTCATCAATATGACGGACAGAATTTTCGTAGGCATAAAAGTTTAAATTTTTATTTAATACTAGCTGACCCGACAGACTTCGTCCTGTCAAAAAGATTTGTAATGTGGCAGTTTTTTTGCCTACGTATTTAAAAAAATTCTGATGCATTTTATCTCGCGTGCCGAAACTAATACAAAAGAAACGCGAGTTTCGGAACGCGACATTAAACTCCTCCAACTATGTATTCTGTGATCCAACGCACACACGCACATTGTTTTGATAGATATGATCTTTGACGTTAGGAACACACCTACATTGCTTAGACAACAGTGAGTGCTTGTAATTTAATATGAACTTTATACCATAGCAATAAAGCTCAAATTGACTACGTTTTAGTTACAAATCATTTGTATGGGAAAAAGAAAAGGGCTATTTTTAGGGTTTTTCCAGCAATAATTCTAATTTTTCTCGCCGTAAAAACCATCCTTGAACTTCAACGAACATTTTAAAAAAAGATTTGGCCAAATTGGTCGAGGCGCTGTTGAGTTATGCGCTTACCAACACATTTTGCGATTCATTTTTATATTATAGATAGAAGATTAAGGCAATTTTCCCAAATATTTGTTATATGGATTTTTTAAATTAAAATAAACGGTTACGAGTATTATTTCAGAGTATACCTACCCTCTTGCCTATATACCAAATTTCATCCAAACCAACAATTCTACAACTTTCATATTATAATATTAGTAGGATAGGCACACACCATAGCACTTCAAGTATAAAATTATAAAATAACTCTGTCCGCATTTGGACTATAGTAAGTTCAATAATCAATTATGTATTTGAAAGCATATTAAAAAAATATATTCTAAAATATATTATGGTGTGGACGAGTTATACACGGTTATTAAAATATGAGATCTATACTGCTAAAGGACGTGTTTACCCTAGCGCAGGGTCATGGTCTTAAGCGAGAGTATATTAAAGGTAAACAAGGTCTTTTTCAGCAGACAAAAACACATTATTTGTTTTTATTTTGTTTCAAGTCCAATTTTTACTATTTATTTAAAGGGCGAGAACATGTGTGCCTATTAGAGGTACTCACAAAATATCACTTACCTCTGCAATCTCCTATCCGACACATCTCTGAAATAAACTTCAATTTCACTTTTGTCGCTGTAAATTTGTTCGGATTCATCATCATCTTCGTATGGGAACAGCAACTTGTCTCTAGAAACAGCAGCTTTTCTATCACGATAAAGATACACTCTCAAGTCTTCTAACAACCTTTGCAGCTCATTATCTAATGATACACAGAGCTTTTCCAAAGTCGGAGTGTAACCGCGATCTTGACGTGCCATACCTGAAATATCATATTGCTTTTAAAATTTCATAACATGTCCAGTATAGAAATAATGAATATTTATCTATTTATACAAATACCAGTTATATATTATTTTGAAGCCCCGACTTCTAAACTAGGTTTGATGATGATTTATTTTTTCTTTAATTACTTATTTTTTTCGTATAAACAAAGATCACTATTCAAACTTAACCTAACCAACACACTTAGCCGACAGAATTTTCTAAGTATTTCTTCAGCACCTCATTACGTTCATTTCTGCAGTATTTAAGAAGTCAATGTCTTCCCAAGGACATTCCATTATAAGGTAAGTTCTAAGTTCAAGAAAGAAAATCTAAATATCAAAAATAAAAAAATTTGTATAGAGTGTGTGTGTTTGAAATGAATAATGACCTGTCATTAATGAAGTCATAACTTTTATCACATCATTTCTGGACTCTATGACAGTTTCACCGATGAGATCCTTCCACACAAACCAATTGATGTCAGACTCCTTCTCCGTCTCCCCTTCAGAAGATACCTTCGTCAAGTCGACTAGCATCTGAGTCTTGAACTCATCGTAGACTCTGATCCACCTGTTGTCTATGATGGCTTTCACCCTAGTGGTTAGTAAAGGTTGGAAATAGTGACACCATACATGGACTTCTGGTATATCGAGAGATGAACATATTAGGCTCCAATTCGATGGTGTGTCTGGGAAAAAGATGTTTATCATTAAATAATTTTATAATATTTCTCTCGGCTGTTTGGGTAGATTGCCTGAACATTATGAAAATACCCTCTGTAGTAGCGGAAAAAAAGTAACAAATGCTTAAAAAATTCGTCAGTCCTGTTAGGCCCTGGGTAGCTCAGTAGTTAGAGCAGTCCCTTGGATCGTGAAAGGTCGTGAGTTCGAATCTCATCGCAGAGTACCAGGGTCAAAATGGATTTTTTAAAGCATTTTTCAGTAAGAATTATAAATGCAATAATATTTTTGAAACAAACCATTATTGTTGCAGACTCACCGACGATGACCGAACGTACGACGAAAATCTATAATGAGTCTTATTTTAATACACAGAAGATATAAAATACAACGTAATAGGAGCCAGTCTCATCATACATTAATCATTCTGATTGGCCAGGATTTGCCTTTTTAATTTCCTTTTTAATATATGCTTCGAAAGCTAAGCTGGTTAGCTACATTACTTTAATAGTCTTACCAACTTTGAAGGCTTCGTCCCTTATCTCATGCAAAATCTTGACTCTTGTAATATTCTGCAGCAGAGACTGCACATGTTCGTCTATATATGACTTTACCCAAACGCTCCACTCTTGAACGCATTTCGTTATTTCCGTTTTAGCCAAAGCTTGAACCTCTTTGTTTGATGAAAGTCTGTCATTAAAAATATATCTTCATTTTTTTACAATATAAAATTAAATTGTTATTGAATATACATGTCTATTTATAAAACACCGGCAACTTCGTGAACTAAATAGGTAACATAATAAATAACAACGTTTGATCGACGAGTTTAAAAATTACTAAGTACTTTGATTTTTATTTCTTTTTTTCAATTTTATACTGTAGTGTCGTGAAACTGTTAATAATAAACAATAAAAGACTATACGCCCTATGAGCTGACGTCATCTCAGTGATGCGTGTGGTACTTTCGAATGGTAAATTAAACACATTTATTTTTGTATGAGAATAAATGTAGTGGATTATCAAAGGTTTCTAGAACAAGTGTTTAAATTTTTTTATTAAACAAGGGTTTTATATGATTTTGGTATTTTACAACCGACCTTGTATACAATATTACAAGACGACTTCCATGGTTCGAATAACTTCCGAGGGTCTAGTAGGCTTCAAGGTGTCACCATGACTGAGGCCTCGGATTCGATTTACAGTCGAGTCAATATAGATACAGGCAGCCCTAGACTTTCGTCGCTACGATTTACGTCGTTTCAAGTTACGTCAAACAATAGCCTGATACAAATACCAACTTATAGTATGGACATCAAACATTAAAACATAACAGCTGTTTTTTTTTTATTATGAGGGTATCATATATTTCCTTTTTAATATATGAATTAATCCAACGACATTTTCTTTCGGATTATTAGTAAAAAAAATAAAATTCCTTTAATTTCTCAATAGCATTATAAACAAAATACATATGAAGTGACTTCTACGTATTTTCACGCTGTTACTTATGTTACTTCCATGAAATCTTCCTAATATTATATTTGGAAACTCATATTTTTATATAACACGGACAATAAATATTTAAAAAATATTTGTAAAAATATCAATAATATTAACAATGAAATACGACTTCAATCGATATTATTATATTGCGTTAAGTATATTTTGTTTTGAATCCAATTAAAATTTCCATGGAAATATTGCATACCAATAGCCTTATAATTATTTATGAAGCAAAAATATAACACGCAATATATGCAGCAGAGTTTTGAGTTAAACACTATAAAAAATCATTAAAATCCACTCATAAATACTTTAAATAAAAGTTTTATCACATTAAACTCCTAACAAAAAGTTTAATATAAAGTTTTCATTATCGCTAAGATAAATAAAAGCAAAATTTGTGAAAAAAGTCGTGTTAGTAATTTTGCGTGAAAGAAATGAAGGTTTTTTGACTTGATGTTTTTTTTTATACCTTCCGTAGCTAAAATGAGATGGATTCTTAAATGTAGTCTCTTGTAATTGGCTCACAAACTTGATTAAAAATATTCCAGGCTTATATCGAATTATTCCGTTTTTCTCGTATTTGTATCAGGCTACAATGTTTTGACACTGGTCCTCGAGCGTTAATTGTTTCGATTTCAGGCACAGGAGAATTCACTTGTCGCGCGGTCAACGTCCGTGGGGTTTTAAAGTTAATAGCAAAATTTGTGTAGCCTATCAGTGTGACCAACCTTCATAATAGCAAGAAGAAAGAAGCGAAGCAATCGAGAATCGATAGTTTCTTTAAGCCAAGAGTTTATTTTTTATTTCTCATAGCATATTTTGATTATAAAAGTTATTGAAATATCCAAAATACTAGCGATTTCATAAGTACATTTATAATTATTTTAAGTTGAATTACTAACTTTTGATAATAAAGTATCTATATCCTTTGTAGTAAATGTTGTTTTTTGTTTATTTTGAGTCCGTGTAGAACCTAACCCTTGAGTTTTACATGTAAAAATATAAAAAAATATGTCTCAACTGAAGTCGTTTCGCTTTACGTCGCGTATTTCGAGAACCTAACATGCTGTAAGTACGAGGACTGCCTGTAATATAATTTTCTATATTTTCTCTACTCTGGGTGTTTCTTGTCTTGCTTTAGCTATATAATTACTATGGGATCTTAATAGAGTCATCTCTATAAAAATTAAACCCGTAAAAATATAGAATATCCCTATTATGGGATGTTCTATATTTTTACGGGGTTAATTTTTAAAAAGTGCTGCGATTTTTTCAACGTTATGTGTTACATAGAAAATTATCACAAAAAAATTAAAAACACGACTGTCAAAATCAATCTAAAAATAAAATAAACAAGTTGTATAACGACTTGGCTAACTTGTCGGGAGACCTCTTAGGTTGCCGCAATGAGAATTTTGTTTAGCCAAGCCTTAATACAACTTGTTTCTTTTACTTTTAGTAGAAACATAACTCGGTATAAACTGATACCTGTAATTAGACAGCACAGCTGGTAGAACCTTCAATCCTGCCGGATCACTAAACTTAACCAATTCAATCAATGGTTGAGAATCTCGCCTGAAAAGTTCTTTTAACTTTGCCAACACTGCACCTCCATCGTTATCTGTAATTCAACATTATGGCGTCATGTTCTATCTATGTGTATTTCGGAATTGTAATTTCTGGAAAACTTTTTTCAGAACCATTATCCTAATGATGTCCTCACTATTTAGGCAGACTTTGATTATATTAATGATGCCTACGAATAGGATCTATCAAATAAGGACAAGGAGTAAAAAATATTTTTTTAATGTCGCGACATTTATACTATTATATGTTATTCAATGACGCTACGCTTTTTGAAGTAGCTATATATTGATGTTGCACATAGAGTAATTAACATTCCAACAGTAAATTAAGTATGTAAGTATTAAAACAAGTTTTGCGAACATTGCTGTTTATGTATGTTGGCTATGAGATTATTGGAGTTTTAAAAATAACCCTGTATAAAACGAACGAATGAGTTTTAAAAATATATTTTAAATTATATGCAATTTCAAGCACAATTCAATAAGGCCTAGTATACAAATCTGTAGAGTATAAAAGAAGTCTTTCTTACCTACAAAACAAGCATATACCAGTATGACTGTCTTTAACACAATCTTGACTCCGTTCACTATCTTTTCCCGTATTTGAACTTTCATGTCTCCCTCTAGGATACGACTCAAGTCGAATTGTAGTGTTGATTTAAGGCTGCTGTGGCTCTGGAGACTTATCAGTGAGTTTAGTAGCTCCACCAGTGTTTGTGTGTCGAGGAGATATAAACTAACAAGACAGGAGCAAGCTGCCTGAATAACATATTAATGAATTTATTTCTACAATCAAGGTTCGAAAAAATGAATAATATCCTTTTTTACTTAATATTAATGATAACAATATTGAATAATGTATTATGAAAACACATCATCAGCATCATTCTTAATGTCCCTACTGCTGGTGTACATGTAGCTTAACTGCCTAATCGCAGGCCACGCCATCAAGCTCCGCAAATCTACGCCGGAGGACATGTACCGACAAGAACCAGCAAAAAACTCAGCAAGGGCTGCCTTTCCCATGCAAATCAATCACATAAGTCAAAAAACTCATATAATTGAGATACATCGCATTATAATCCTACTTTTGTGTACCTCAACATTAATGTCCACATCCTGCAATTTCTGTCGACAAACATCTATTATTGTTTGGTTGAAGTTCGACACAGAATTCCACTGCTGCTGCACCAGTCTTTGCAAAGATTGCATACCAGGCTTTGCATTTTTACAGCCAATTTGTAATTGAAGACCTTAAAAATGTACATAAAGTTATTATATTTCTTTAATTCAATAAATTATATAGATTTTTTATATACAAATATAATGTCAAAATAAATAAGTAATAATATAAGTGCTGAATAAGGGAATAGTCTCAAGATCTTAATGTAATTATAAATAAAACTGCATAATAATAAAGAGGAAAAGAACATGGTAACAATGCTTTATGCCTTCTATGTCATATGATGTCATAATTCTGTTATATTTCTATCATTTTCCAATCAAGATTGTAATTGTCATTCCTTAAAAATCTATTGTATTATATTAATTTCCTTTTTTTATAATTGACAGATAAGAAAGAATCAGTACACATGCACATTGCATGAAAATGTTTTGACATTTACAAAGGGTTCACAGGTTATAAAGATACCTCGTGTGTTCATAAGTTTTGAGACGAAATAAAAGTTGCGTAACATTTCTAATAATTATCTTATATTTCTAAAATTTTAGTGACCATTAAAGAGATAATAATCAACAATAAAATATATATTTTATTCAAAATGACCGCCCTGTTTTTAATACAGGCCCTTCGACGATATGGCCAGTCATCAATTGCGGCACGAATCTTTTCTAGCGGAATTCGCTTTGCTTCTCGAACAAGGGTTCGCTTGGGTGGGACTTTCGGCAGGCCCTGCACTCTAATTCAGTCCATAAAGAATAATCCAGCGGGTTGAGGTCGGGGCTGGAGGAGAGCCACTCGTCCGCCGCGATGAAAGCCGGCACATTCTTTCACAACCAAGCTTCGGTGCTTTTTTCCTTATAGGATGGCGCCGACTTGCTGAAAAACCCAATCCTTACTGTGAAATAACGTAACGTCAAACGTCACTCTGATAATTCTTGGCTTTCACATTGACACCTTGTTGGCAGAAATGGAGCGGAGTGACACCTTCATACGAAACTCCCCACCATAACGTATCATAGCCGGATGATGAGTGCGCGAGAAGCTGGGACATCCTTGCTACTTTTAGCGTACTCTTTTTTGTATTGTCGGTTGAACTTTTCTTCAAGAGTAAAAATTTTCTCGTCGGTGTAGAGTAAGAGTATCTTCCTGACATCATGTCTCCTAAGCAGCAATGGAAAACGTTCGCGTCGTAACTTACGAAGACGATCATTTAAAAAGTGAATTTTTCTACGGCCTTTTCCTTAAGATCATATTTCAGTGTTCTGTTCACTGAAACGCGTGAAATATTAGTTTGCACAGCGAGTTTTTTCTGAGTGCGGATTTCGGCGAAGTCGCTCTCGGATTTTCATGTTCGTCCTCACAGAGCGTGGCCGACCACTCCTTTGGCGATCTTGCTGAGAACTTGTCTCATTGTACCATTATATTGTGTAATAGACGAAGTTACCGCTCACAGGAAAACTTTTCAGCTCGCGGACATTCTGCATCGGTTTTTTTCCCGCCTTAAATATCGAAATGACAGTTGCACGTAATTGTTTCGTTCCTTTGCATTTGCATCACGAGAAAATATAAACAAATGAATTTGCGATAAACTAAAAGTTAACATTCCAAATTCAAAACTGGTAAAAAAAATAAAAACAACCAGTAACATATTATTTTATTTTTTTCTGTAAAGAGTTTTTCTCAAAACTAATGAACACATGGTAATATTCTACATGAGATATTTCACCAATGAAGAACTTAGTGTTTGATGAATTACCTGTGTTAATATGTCTGGCTATGATAAACAGTTGTGTCGCTTTCACAAAATCATCAGTTTCAATGCATATCCATATTTTTTCTGGTATTTCCATCAACAACTTAACTTGTACAGCTACACTATGATCTGAATCACTATTCAAATAGTAGCTGAAATATTTTTTTATTATGAGTCAATAAGAATTTTTGTTAACCACTAGCCCAAGAAACAAGAACAGGAACCTGAATTATGGGTGATATGGAATATAATTTACACAGGTGAAGTCATGGAAATAGCCAATTTTAAAGATAATATGAATAAAAAAATTATTAAACAGCATCACATACATTGCTCAAATTCCTAGATGAGTAGATAAAACCTCCAATTATGGATATCTAAGACAATAAAAATACCACAACACACAGATCCGAGACAATATAGAAAAGTCCTTTTTTTACATCAACTTGACTGGGAATCAATCTACCTTGAAACCAGCGTGTGAACCACTTGGCTACAGAGGTTGAATAATTAAAGAAAATCACAGTTTCTTAAGAGCCACTAAAAGGTATAGTGGCTCTTAAGAAACTGTGATTTTCTTATTTAAATTGTAATAACAGGCAATGATACAATGATTTTAACCAGTAGGGAGCACCCACTTGATCTATAATAATAATAATAATAATAATAATAATATATACTTGATCTATTATGTAGTAACTAAATGTAGATAGTCATTATATATTTCTATAGTAAAATTTCCATGCCACCGACTACTCAGTGGTCCACAGACCACTGGTGTACCAAATGTCAAAATAATTTATCCATTCAATTTTAAACCTTAACAAATTTGTAATAGAATACAAAATTGACAATGGAAGTAGGACAAATTGTTTTAATTTTTTCTGCTGTGTACTTAATAAATGCAGAAAGATCAACATGACAAATAAAATGATTAATAAATAGTTGATTACTTTTGTGATACAGGATTTTCTTTGATATTAAGCCCAGCCAACCGTGTACTATGCAAATTCTTGCAGGCAGACATAATTTCATTTATGTGGTTCAGAGTACTTGCAGTGGTTAACTTCATTTCTTCTATTGTATCAGCTGCATGAATAAGGTCCCGATACCGCTCACTGAAGTTAATGTAATATTAAACAAATTATTATAAGTAAGCGTTATTTAAAAATCAGTCTAGTGTATATTCTTAACACTACACAGCGTAGATCATTTAGGTATATAATTACAATAAAAGAATCATACATATGTTTATATTGAAAAAGGTCATGTTTAGCATATTTACCCAACCATAGCCCTAAGTTCTTCTCTTTTTCTTTCAATCTCGTATTGCAATTTCTTCTGTACTTGATCTACATCACTGATATAATGAGTTTGAAATAATTGTTCTGGATCTATTTCCAATAAGTTTGGTTGAGCCATGTTTTGATAATAATACTAAAATTGACAATTAGTAAACTAAATAAATATGTATTATTTTCAAAAGATGTTGTATTATGACACAATTCGCGAATTTAACTAAAATAAATTCATTTTTGTATATTCTTCATATATCGTCTTATCTATCTTTATTATTTTTATCGTCAATTCATCAACACAATAACAGCTCAAAGACATCAGCAAGTAACAACAACTGTCAATGTCAGTGTCATGTCACTTAGTTTTTTTATTTTATTTTTTTTATCTTAGTGTTATTTCCACGGTTGTTTCCATTGATGACAGTTAAACTGTAACATGTACGGATGGGTAGCCTTAGGTTATTTATTATCTAAGCCTTAGTGTAAAGCAGTAAGTAAAAACTGAGTCACATAGTACACAGTAAATACTGAGTATTTACTTTATTTGATGAGTATTTACACTTTAGACAAAGTAAAAACTTTTTATCGGATATTTTTGTGTATAACGTTGCTTGTCCATTATCTTTTTCTTTTATTAATTGTTTATTTGCGCATTTCGCACAATGAGAAAGTATTTAAAAAATAAAAATTGTTCTTGAAATCATACTAGATGTCACTCGCGATGTTTGGATTTTGTTTACGATATTCATTCAAATTTATTTCTGATGTAATAAAAGTAAATCGAGTATCGAAAATTAATAAATATCGTTTCTTATAATATCTAATTTTCAAATCAATTTTAATTTAAGTTGTTTATTATGTTACGTGTAAAGGAACGATGTTTGGTTGATACGTCAACATTAGTGATGGGCCAACTTATTGGTTGCTCGTAACTTTCATCCGAATTCAGGTTTGGAATGAACCATTTAGAAAGAACCAAGAAGTACATACCCACCGTACGAATTAACTTAACACATAGCTCGACGTCCGCCGTCGACATGCAAGATCAGCAGCAATAGTATAACAACTGTACGTGTCTTTGTGATTTTGAAATTTAAAGTTATAACCTTTAAATTCTAAAATCACAAACGTACAGTTCGTTTAGAATAGATGTTTCTTGTTGATTGCTGAATATTTATTAAGATTATTACAATATGAATAAAATATTTAATAACTGATCACAGCTTTTTAAAGTCTTAACTTCGAGCACCAGTTTTTTGCAAGTTACACTTTGCACCTACGTCATTCTAGCCAGAAGTCATGTTATTTTGTACGAGTACGGATTTTTTATTTTTATGACTTTTGTTGCTGATTAATAAACCCTATTCATTCATTCACCATGCATAATATAAAAATATTATTGAGACTTGATGTAGTTTTGTTGTTGTAAGTTCAACAAACAAATAATAGCAATAAAACTAACTTACCTAGTTGTTATTGTTTTCAGAACTTTTGTTAAATATTATAATGAAAAATTACTAGACCTACTATAGCATAAGTATTTTATTTATAAACACTATTTGGGGGTAATATTACTGAATACTGTAGCTAAATGCCACTTTTAATTATATCACAGCATTCATTCAATTGATTTCCATGAATTAAAAAAAAACCTTTGTGCTATCTTTTCAAAATTATGTTAGTTACCCATTTTTTTCCTCTATATAAATAACAAAGAAATTTATTAAAAGATTACTTTGTATTAATCGAGTTGCATTTGCATAATTCGAATTAATTAAATTACAACTCGATATTAATCTGAGTTATTAGATCACTGACAATTCTATTCTCTTTGGTTTAACGTCATGAATTGACATTTAGATCCAATAATTTGTGCTGCCATCTAGAGACATAAATTTTTGTAGTTTCTTTACTTTTTTAAATACTTCCTCATTCTACCAATATTAAGTGAATAAATTAATTTCTACATGTAAAATGAAAATGATATGAATCGCCTATCCATTACCACTTGTACGAATTAACAAGACAACTAGCTGGAGTGGCATTTATGTAAAGAAAAACGTGCAAAATAGATGTCAGTTCATACCAAAGATTACTGGTTCATACTTAATAGTATATTATATATAAAAGAACTAAGATAAGATGACAATCATATCTAATAAATCTTGTCTGAATAATAAAATTTATCAAAATTTTATCAAAAAAAATATAAAAACATCCAAACGTAACAAAAAGAGAAAAACTGAAACTAAATTTCAAAGTTCTAAAGACACGTAACAGTATGCTTTCGCTGGCATTAGATCGCATGGCAACGACGAGTTGTCGTGCGGGGAGTATGGAGTTAAAAAACCAGGTACCGTGTTAGTCATGCGGTTAATACAGTAGCATGAGGGCGAAGACCTATCCCAAGGTAGTGTCGGGTTTATCGTCCACAAGTCTCTCGTGAACAATATTGTACAGATAGGAAGTGTATCGAATATGGTGGCGTAACTTAGAATCACCGAACGGTATTCGCTGAATGTCATACAGGTTTACGCCCCGACCTCAACGCACCCCGACGAGGAAGTGGAAGCCATGTATGACGACATTTCTCGGCCACTACATGGTTCCACGACCCACTACACTGTTGTCATGGGAGACTTCAACGCAAGGCTAGGCAAGCGTGGCGATGAGGAGTTGAAGGTGGGGAAATTTGGATCTGAGATCCGGAATCACCGTAGTCAAATGCTAGCCGAATACATGGAGAGGGAGGAACTCTATATGATGAACTCCTTCTTCAAAAAACGGCCGCATCGAAAGTGGACCTGTAAGAGTCCGGGTGGGGTGACAAAAAACGAGGTTGACTTCATCATGTCGACTAAGACTCGGATATTCAATGACGTTTCAGTGATCAATTCGTTTAACACGGGAAGTCCACGCTCCGTCCTGAAGCCACCCAGATCCTGGACCCCGAGCACTTTCAGCTCGAGCTTCAAAATCGCTTCGATTGCCTGAAGAGCTGCTCGGATGTGGACGAATACAATGACAGGATCGTAGAAGTTGTCCTTACGGTGGGTTAAAAATTTCTCAAACCTTGCCGTACTCAAAAAAGAAGCAAGATCTCCGAGCAGACAAGCAAGCTAATGGAAGAAAGACGTGGAATGGTTCTGCAGTCTCCTGAAGATGCTCGTCGGCAACTCAATAGACAGATCTCGAAGTCTCTCACACGCGACATACGCCAATTTAATACTCAATGTATTATGGAGGCGATTGAGCGGAACAAAGGCTCCAAAGTGTTCGCTAGAGATCTGTCTCTCGGTCAGAGCTTGCTGACGAAGCTGAAGACGGAGGACGGCACAGTCGTTACATCCCGTCCTGAGCTTGTGGCGAAGATCGAACGCTTCTATGGACAGTTATACGCAACATCACAGTAACCTGTCATTGAGGCTACAGACCCTAGAGCCGAATCAACCCGACATTATACAGAAGATATCCCGAACGTCAGTCTATACGAGATAAGTGTGGCTCTCAAACAGCTTAAGAACAACAAGGCGCCGGGTGACGGAGTTACAGCGGAGCTTCTGAAAGCGGGTGGATTACCAGCACTGAAAGCGCTTCAGAAGCTATTTAACTCCGTCATACTCGAGGGCAAGATGCCAGAATCATGGCACAGAGGCGTGGTAGTGCTTTTCTTCATAAAAGGTGACAGGGCCCATTTGAAAAATTATAGACCTATCACGCTTCTGAGTCATGTGTACAAGCTGTCTTCGAGAGTTATCACGAATCGTCTCGCACGTAGATTTGACGACTTCCAACCTCCCGAACAAGCCGGTTTCCGAAAAGGTTACAGTACCATAGACCACATTCATACGCTGCGAAAGGTTATACAGAAGTCCGAGGAGTGTGATCTGCCACTATGCTTGGCGTTTGTGGACTATGAGAAAGCCTTTGACTCTGTCGAGACCTGGGCCATGCTCAGGTCACTCCAGAGGTGCCAAATAGACTATCGATACATCCAAGTGTTGCAGTCACTGTATGAAAACGGCACCATGTCAGTTCGGCTCCAGGACCAAAACTCGAAAGCAATATGACTTCAGCGTGGAGTGAGACAGGGCGATGTTATATCTCCAAATCTGTTCACTGCCGCACTGGAGGACGTGTTTAAGCTTTTGGACTGGAGAGAACTTGGCATCAATATAAACGACGAGTACATGACGCACCTCCGTGTCCATGGAAGATCTAAGCACAATGCTCGAAGATCTCTGTAGAGTTTCCCAACAAGTGGGTCTTAAAATGAACATGGAGAAGAGGAAAATAATGTTAAACTCCCATGTCGTACCCACTCCAGTGAATGTTGGATGCTCTACACTGGAAGGTGTCGACGAATACGTTTACCTGGGACAAATAGTCCTATTAGGTAAGTCCAACTTCCAGAGAGAGGTAAATCGATGGATCCATCTCGGCTGGGCAGCGTTCGGGAAGCTACGCAGTGTATTCTCGGAACATCTATCGCAGTATCTTAAGACGAACGTATTCAATTCGTGCGTGTTGCCAGTGATGACATACGGAACGGAGACATGGCCGCTTACGATGGGCCTCATAAGTAAGCTCAAAGTCGCTCAGAAGGCAATGGAAAGGGCTATGCTCGGGGTTCCTTTGCGAGACCGAATCCGAAATGATGAGATCTGCAGAAGAACGAAAGTCACCGACAAAGCCCAAAGAATTGCGAACCTCAAGTGGCAGTGGATAGGGCACATCGCTCGCAGGACTGACGGCCGTTGGGGCGGTAAGGTCTTGGAATGGCGACCGCGTACCGGGAGACGCAGTGTTGGTAGGCCCCCCACAAGGTGGACCGACGATTTAGTGAAGGTCGCGGGAAGCCGCTGGATGCGGGAGGCGCAGGACCGGTCACGTTGGAGACCTTTTGGTAGGCCTATGCCCGGCATTGGGCGTCTCTCGGCTGATGTGATGATGATGATGACTTTTTCGTATTTGTATTGATACGAGTATCTAAGTTTCGAACTTTTCAAATTTCATTTTTTTAATATGTTAGTTAAAGGAACGGAAATGACTGTCTTTGATCCATTCGTTTCCTGCAAAAGTCAACTTTTGCTAGAGTCGCCATCTAGTGGAGGTGCTTTTTTAGTGCTTTCCCTTTTTTTAAATACATCCTCAATGAGGAAATTTGGCAAATTATGATAACCTGACGTGCGTGCAGCCGTGTGTATATACTATAACCACCAGGACCGTAACACGGATGCGCCAAGAAATAACATACTTAACAACATACTCATCGCACTAACATCGCCACAACAAATAAATCC